CCACGTGCTTCTCCTAATCAAACTCCCAGCCATGGACCTCATCCAGATCGGAGCCGAAAAGGTAGCTGCGAGATCCGGAGGCACCATGTATGGACCGATCGGGAAGCTCACGACATGAGACGACAGCGGCCAGAACAGATCGGGAAGCCAGCAACGACGGCGGCGGCCAGATCGGACGGCGACCACCAGGGGGGAAGAACAGAAGAAACCGGCCGGAGACACCCCGCCGCCGCCGTCCGCCGGGCAGCCGGCCTCCTCCGGCGGCGGCAAGGTCAACGGGGCTGCGAGGGAGGGCCTCCGGGGGCTACGGCGGCGGCGCCTCCGGAGTCGCTGGAAGCGACCCGGGAGGCTAGCGGGTAGTTAGCGGGTAGTTAGCAAGAAAATATATAGACACCAGTCTTCCGTATGCATCGATCATGGCATGCACGAATCTATGTGTCCGGCTGCAGCCGGAGCCGTTCTGGAAGAGCTCACTGCACACAATACATTGTAATGTCGAGCTGACTTCCATACAAGAGGCACATTTCTTTGTTGGATCTGCTACCATGGCACGCTAGAGAACGTACATTGGGGTTTGCATGCGTGCGCACACTTGAGACATATTGCACCCCCTTTCCCCACACACACAATCATGTACATTATACAAAATACACACCACTATCTTATTTTGCTCGTTTGCGACCATCATTCTTTTGGTGCGGATAAGCTCACACCGAGCAAGAGCAAAAAAACCATTTTTTGTAGAACTTTCAAGGAGCGTAGTATCTTGTTTTTATGAGGCAAGAAAAGCACCTTTCTGATTAGTTGATGCACTATGTGTATGTTAATGTCCCATAATGACAAAGATGGATACTCCCTAACAAAAGGTGGTTTATGAGGGAATATATGTTTTGATTAAAGAAACAAGCTTAAAGGAGCACTACAGTAAGCAAAGTAATCAATCTACTTACTTGTATATAATCTACAAAGCAGTATCATTCTATTGGAGTATTGGCCATGTGTTGGGCCCTCCGGCCAATCATAGTTTGTCACGTAAGCTAGCTCCAGGCTAACTAAAGCTTGCAGACCTAATCCACATTAATTTGGTGCTAGTAAAGCTCCACTAAGCAATGTACTTTGCTAGCTAACCAGATGCTTAGGGATAAGGACATGGCTTGTTAATTAATTGTAGTAGTTAACAACTTGTGCCACATGTCGATTTCCAAGTAAACTTTGTGCCGATGCTCGAGACATATAAATCCACCTATCTTGATCTGATTGCTGCGTGCAATATAGTTTTACTGTGTCTAAAGCTAAAAAGGAAGATCGTACAAATGTGCCGGACAATTCATATGCATTAGGTAATGAGGCTACATGCATAATAATCTAACTATTTAGCCCAGCTAGAAATATTCGCTAATAATTATGGTTAATAGGATAATATTACCATCAACATGGGGTGCATCCCCAGTGCTCCCCTTTATTGCTACTAACACATCTCCATCTTTTCATTAATTTTCTCCAAATAAAGAAGGATGATGCTTACGCCCTGCCTAAACCATATCATACACTTGCCTTTTGTTTCTGGTTTGGACTTGGAGTCTCCCTATAATAAGTGCACACCACAATAATTCTATAGAGTTCCAGATGATGTCTTCCTCCCATGTATCTGCGTCTACCGGTATCCACACACATGACACAATCAAATAATTTTCTTATGCCCTTTGAACAAAGCTACTGCAAATATGGTGGGACCAAAATTAAGGAATCTTCTTATAGTTGTATAAAATACTAATTACATCATAAGATCTCCCCACCAAGAAAAAAGACGCAAGGCCAAACTATTCACCAATCAAGTAAATGGGTACCGCATAATTAAGCAGGTTTTAGCTTAAGTTTTGTTTCTGCATGGAATTTATTCACTAAAACATTTGGTAGAATCGAGGCCAAACTATTCACAACCCCACACCATAGGAAACTTCTACATTTCTTATGAATTTTGTAGTTGTAGTGGCCATTGCATGAATGATTGGCCCACCCAATGTTCTATCTTTCAAGTTACTTGGACCTACACAATATACCTAGTAATTTAATTAAATTTTTACTAATTCTCAAGTACCTATTTTTTTATAAATCTTAGTTCGCCAAAAGCATGACTTAGACCAAAAATTATGTATTGAAACAACAAGTGCAGAAACATAATTTATGTGATTTCTAGGCGTTATGCTATGTATGGACCGATATTAAGATAACAAATGGCCAGGTATCGATTCAAAGATATGACTAATATTACCCAAAAAATAAAAAATAAAAAGGAAGATATGACTGATATTTGATCAATTTTTAGGTAGCTAATAAGTGGACAACCCTACCAATTAAAGGACGGTCAAATATGAACCATTGCATCATAGTCATATGGCATCAATCTTAGTTCCCCAGAAACCATTTTGTTCATTTTAGGCTCTAAAGCGTAGTTATTTCGTTGTATCCGCGAATTACTTCTGGATTCATACCAAGGAAGGTTAGATTTTTTGTATCACTTATGTGTTATGATCGAGCAATATAATCCTTGTTGATTTCTTTGCACCAACTAGCTAATACAAAAACCTTAGCCCAAAGGCAAATGGAAAACACATTTAATAATCCGCATATACTGGTATCCACATTCGGCACACATAACACAATTAGTAAATTTTATTAGATCCCTAAATAAAGAAGATATATTACAAATATAGCAACCCCAAAATTTAGGAATCATGTTAGATTTTGGTATAAAAACTAAGAGCAAGATAAGTTATTTAATCATCTCAAGAAAAACAAAATGTCCAAGGGCACTATTACATAACCAAGCAAATGGGCACATAATAAGCAGGTTTTAGCTTAAGCTTCAACTATGTGCGTGGAATTTATGCACCGACAAACATGGTACATACAATCAAGGCAAAACCCATGCACAAACTATTCACAACCCGGTCCCAAAGGAAACTTATAAAGTTCTACTACTTACTACTATAGTTGCAGTGGCTAGTGCATGAATGATTGGTCCACCCAACACAACACATGTGGTAATGTAATTAGCATTTTCTATAATTCCCAAGTGCCTATTTCCCCCCCTTTTTTGAAAATATCACTCCATATATTAATTAAATGATAATGTTCTCACAATCATTCATTACAACATACGTTACACAGAGCGGGATGCTACTTACAAGAGCACCATTAGAGCAATAACCAAAACTTATTTTTGTTGACTCATGCGCTACCCCTTTAGTCTGCCAATTAATCATAACAACTCAAAAGAGAAATATAGTGGTGTGGCAGCCTCCTGCACCTAATTGTATTAAGAATAATGTCGACGCTAGCTTTGCCAGGTGTGTGGTTCCACTAGTGTGGGGGTTGTTGCGAAGAATTCCATTATGTTTGTTATAGTGTGTAAGAAGCTAAGCCGCGTGCATGCCATGCCAGTATCTACAAAGGTATTACTCTCTACAAGCCTATTATTTTCGAAACCGATTGTCCGTTTGTGCCTTCTTTTCTTGCAAATGCTAATTTGGACATGCCCCATCTCGTTGATCTAAAGAGAGAAGCGATGGATGTCAAGTGGCTAATTTTTCATTAATCATAGTAAGCTAAAAGCATATATCACTCAATAAAAAATTAATGTATTGAAAGCCCTCATATCTACCAGAGAAAAATGTATGTAGCCGCGATTTCTAGCCAATAAGTTGTATTTGAAGCAATATTAGAAAAAATGGCAATAAGTTGATCCGAAGGTCTAATTGAAATTTACTCAACTTTTGCAAACTAATAATAGACAACTCCATTAGTTAATGAATGTTGTAAAAATATGGACCAACGCGGCACCGACATATGGCATTGACCCTTATTCTATGAAGCCATTCTTGTGCACATTTTAGAACTACAATCTCGTCCCTAAAGCAGAATCCTTATCTTTTATCCGGTGAGAACCCTCAAATCAATATGAATGAAGATTTTGATATTTTCTCTTACATATATTCAATAGAAATTTTGCTTGACTCTTTGCACCAACTAGTTTATGCAAAACTTAAGAAGGGAGGTAAATGTGAAAAACACTCAATAATCCTTGCTGTGAAGGATGGTCTTAAATTCACTACTCCCTCCACATCGTGAAAAGGGAGTGTATAATTTCTCACTTTTTGTTGCGAAAGAACGGCGAGTGGGCCAGAACCAATGTGGTGTGCTGAAATAACCCCCATAACTGCGTTCATTTCAACCATTACCTAGGAGACTTAAAGCTAATTGGTCATCAACATCGCTGCACTATGGATTAAAATCGTTGTAGTCGATCATAGAAAGGAGAGCCAGAACCACATGAATTGAGGATATTAATTAACCACCTTTCACTATAAACCGGTGTAAAGCAGGAAGTTCTCCCTCCGACCGTACCTTCCTTGGTGTAAAATAACATGTCGTTTGGAAATTGACACGGTCTATGACATGAAAATTTGGGATGAAATTGGTGCACCTCGCAATTCTAAACAAAGGGAGTGGTATCAGAGTATGAGGATCTTTAGAAGCGGAACACGCCATGGTTGCGCACACAATCTAGAGGCAATATATCCCCCAATTTAAATAACGCCTTAATCAATGGTAACTCATCACCCATGTCCTCTATCTTTTTTAGCTTTTTGGCCTATCCAAAGCCCTGATTGTACAAATTTTCTTAGCTATAAAAGTTGCATAGGGGATTTCGCGCGGTTTCGCCTAAAAAAGGTGTGGTATCTAGAAACAGAGTACAGACCTCCAAACAAGAATTTCCTCATTGTTCATTTGATATTCCTTGGCATCACAAATATATTTCTCCCCGGCCTCTTCCCCTATAAATACAGGCCATTTCCCTCTCACCCCTCCACACCATCCCTAAGACAACAACAAGCACACACAGGAGAAAAACAGAGATAACAGAGCAGCAAACTCATCAGGTGCAACTCCTCTGCTCTGCTACGCAGACGCCGTGCCCGCGGACACCAACACAAACCATGAGGCCCGGAGCCGAGTTCGTCGCCATGAGCCACCGCGCGGGGGCGCCGATGGTGGCGCCGGCGCACGGGCTGATCAACGGGACGGCGCCGCACTCGCCATGGCAGTCGCCTGTGCCGTACCTGTTCGGCGGCCTGGCGGCGATGCTGGGGCTCATCGCCTTGGCGCTGCTCATCCTGGCGTGCTCCTACTGGAAGCTCTCCGGGTACCTCGACGGCGACCGGGACGGCCAGGAGTCGGGGGGCGACGGGGAGAAGGCCTCGGCGTCCGGCGCGTCCAAGCCGGCCCTGGATTTCCAGGAGCACGTCGTGGTCATCATGGCCGGCGACGACCGGCCCACGTTCCTCGCCAAGCCGGCCACTAGCCGGGCAGCCGAGGTAGAGCTCGCAGCGGCGGCGGCAGCAAGCGCGAGCGCCGTCGACGAAAAGGAGAAGAAGATGGACGAGCAGGGCTGCGAGGTGAGCTCGCAGCTCGGAGGCGACCCCGCCGACGCGGCGAGCGGGAGCAGCGGCCACCACCATGACCATGAGAGCAGCAGCACGACGGGGCGGCAAGAAAGCTTGCAATGAAGCCTGAGGACAATGAGATGACAACTAACTCAGCTATTTCATCTGATTGTGCGCGGCCTCGCTGCGAACTCCATCAAATTCCACGGCTGCAACATGAAGTCCTACCCGGAGGCCTAGCGTGGTGGGCGGAGGCCTAGCGTGGGTCACTGGCTCCCAGGCCCAGGCCGGCAAGTTTCAGGACCGCGCCGACCGGCTCGACCGCAAGGATGAGGACTGCAGCCGGCTGCTCTCCGCGCTCCTCACCGGCACGAGCGCCGACGGTGGCGCCGACAACAAGGAGGAAAAAGACGAAACTGGCCCGCCGGAGGTGGCGACGGTGGCCCCTTGATGAGGCGGCACTCACGGCAATGGTCGGATCGTGTAAGGGCTAGTCATGCCGTCCGCAGTGGCATTCACTGGCCATTATTGGCGGGGAAGTGGCCTTCCGACGACCGTGACAAGATGACCAAGAGGCCCAATGGCGTATCTGCAGGCATCGTGCCATGCCCAAAGGCCCGATGGCCATTTATTGGTGTAACACGATTTTTTTTTCTGAGGTGTTGGACGTGTTTGCTGTTTGCATCGTGCTATGCAGAGGCCGGGCATTCCTTCACCGCGGTTGAATCATCTCGATATATCAATTGAGCAAAATGTTCTTTATCGAAAAAAATCTGCAAGCATGACGGCGGTGTTCGTCTGCGGTATCGTGGGTGCTCGCCGGCGGCTGGCGGCATAAATGGATTTTTTGTCTGGTGCAAGGGCAACGACCATCACACGAGGAGGTTTGTGGTGCATTAGATATTCCCCATCGGCATCTAACTTCAAGGTAGTGGCTCGGACAGTGTGGTGTGGATGTTACAGTATGACTAACGCCGGTGTGGAGTGATAGTGGCCAATTCCATGCCAAGACAAGGGCGTCCCGTAACGGCCGTGGTGGTGATCTAAAGTGAGAAGATCTCGCCGATGTACTAGGTCCTTGAGTGGAGTATGGATGCTACTATCGAATGATCCGTCGTCATCAAGATGTTGATTGGAACATCGATTCATGTTCAGAGTTAAAACTCTTATCATAGACTTTGTTTGTCAGGCTTAACAATGCCGAACTTACGTTGTTGCCTTCATGAAGGCGTTTTCTACTTGCTGTTTGCTGGTCTTTGTTGGCTAGCCTCGACAACCATGATGAAATTCTTGCCCAAACCGTCTATGCCCGAATCACGACAATGATGGCGTTAGAACATTTATCCCTTGTTGAAGGCGTCGCTGTGAAAGACATTGACTTAGTCTTAGTTGTCTCTCATATCTTGTAATGATTCAGCCATGGTTATCTTTGTCTTGTACTTTGCTTAGTAATTGTATGCATCATAGTGATGCAGAGTCCAGAAGTTTATACTCCATTTTGAGGGGGAAAAAACAAACCAATTGCTTTCAAGTAGGAAGGTAACTTTTAGGATAGAAAAGTATTGTGCAATCATATAAGTGTTTTCTTTGTAAATATTAATTCCTCGACACATAAAAAATGCAAAAAAGTGTGTCCTATGTTCCCAACTACTTATTTTACTACTGGGCAATGTCGGAGCTACCCAAAGTTGGTTTTGCGGGCTAAGGTGAGCTGAGCCGAAGGGAACACATTTTCTCTCTCTCAAAAGGCCAAGTTTATCTATACTCTTCATTTGTTTTGCACATGGACTGGACAAGCCACAGCCCATTTGGCCTTGTTGTAGCTCCACCAATACTAATGGGAGAACAAAGTTGTTTTTTTAGAGAGCAGGGCCAACCTGGAGTCCTAGACCCATCAGCAAGATCACATAGCTTACTCAAACTTTAACATCGTCATTAATTGTATGAGACATGGACTAATATTGTGTCACTCATGTATATATAATTCTAATGGAGGTTCTTATCCTTTAGCAACTAACCATCTATTACTGCTAGTAGCTTCAATTTTGTGATGATGTGGGGCGCCAGGGTATGTATTTCCCAGATATTTGTGGATTAAAGTTGTCATCTTTGGTATGTGGATCTTATTCTAGTAATATCATCTCAAAGATTTATGCATCCCCCCACTTTCAGTTGTCATTGTCTTGTCGTCAAACACTCCTTATCTTCGTGAAATCCCCCTCCCCCCGCCCCCATCCAATTGTCCTCGTCTTGTCGTCAGATGCTTCTTCTTATGTTGGTGTAAATAGTCAAAGTACTTACACAAATTAACAGTTGTATGTTTGCAATGCTCTGTTTCTTATATTAGTGAATGTTGTGGACAAGATGGTCATGGTCTTTTATGCAATGACTTTGATTTAACTGATATCATTATAAGTTGCTTAAGTTCTTATTCTAGAAATCGTGTCGCCACATTGTTTGCATCATGCTATATTTGTATGAAATTTTCATACCGGTTGACATCTAGTCACGGGGCCCAACTTCAAAAGAAAGAATTTTGTGATAATAACTACAGTATCTTTAGAGATTTGTCACTAAGAGAAAACACCGGAGATTCCGGCATCTCAGATTCCGGCCTGCAGTAAATTCTGAGTCGGAGCGTCGAAGTATCAGGCAAAGATCTCCCACAAGTATAAGAAACGCCGGATGATGCTTTTCCAGATCATTATGTTGGATTAAAGTGCCATCACCTAAATAGAACACTTTGCTTTCCTGATGGGGACCTGCACTAACACTTTGCTTCTCGTACATGCTCCTGCTGCATGAAGCATCATCTGTTAACTTAATCTAGTTACAGGCAGCATCAAGTTTTTCTACCTGAGCAGATGATCCTGGAGGTGCTGCATAAAGATTTGGCCCTGCTTTTTGGCGCTGCTTATTCCTGCTCCGTGCGAGTGCTGGTGTCACTAGCAGCAGTGAAAGGGGCAAATGCCATGGGAAGTGCTGGTGCAGACTGCAGAGCAGTTGAGCTACTAGGGCTGCTTGAGCTACTAGGGCTGTTGCACCGGACTATCGCTGAACAAGCTTGTGGGCGACGGCACGGTCGCTGTCTCTAGCGGCTCGGTTCGTCACCTCGACGGCAACCGGTCGTGGGAAAGAGCTGGTATAGATCAGCGGTGGCGCGGCGAGGTTCAGTTGCATTATGGCGCCACCATCTTCTTCAGGTACCAAAAGGGGGGCACAAGTTGGTGATGATGGCATATTAACACGCCAATTGATGGATCTTGTGCTCTGAATGATTAGCCAAGCAGCCCTTCTGCAACATGTGCTGCCGCCACCCGATTCGAGAACATCCATGCATCTCAACCCCCGCCTATTCCGGATAATGTCATATTTTACCCCCAAAACAAGAAGCTGATGGATATTTCTTCAGGGTGCTGACCTGGCTGGTATCATGCTCGCTTATTCATCATGATCAAGAACTCGCCGGGAAGCTCACCGGAACAACAGGCAGTGCATCTGCCCTTCTGATTTGCATCTGCTACAGTCTCGGAACACCTGGGCACTATAGGGAGATTTTCATTCCTGCATCCAGGTAAACCCGGTAGCACAAACAGAACCTGCAGCCCCAAGATCCTAGAGTGATAACTGATAAAATTCAGCCGCCGGCCGCCGCGGATTGTTTTTGGCCAGTCTGCCATCGACGCCCTGACGCCGACACGTCGCCGTCCGCGGCGGATGCGTGGCCGTGCTTCATAACAACTAACACGACACGTCGCCGTCGCAGCGCATGCGTGGCCGTGTGTGCTTGAGATGTTGTCATCCAGGATGACTGTATAGCAACCGAGGAGAGCGCGGCGTGATGCACTCGCTGGGCATTATTCCGGAGACAGTCTGGGACGGCGACAGGACGTGGATTCAGTACACCGAGAACAAGAATTGTGTTCGATGGGGGCCTCTCTTGGGCACGACTGGGCGAGACATGTTGGGTTTACTGCTGCAGCACGACCTGGAGCCCTCGACGGTGATATGCTTTCCATGACTACGAAATCACACTGTCAACAGCAACAATGCTACATGTACGGAACGGTCAATATTGATCTGATGCATCGTAAAAGGTCTCTTTACGGATCGATTAAACGTGGACGCTTCTGATTGGGCTCGGTTGGGGGAAGTGGGCCCACCCCATGAAAATCGGGGGGAAGATGTTAGTGTTAAAAAAACGTCTCCATAAGAGCCCTGTAACTCAGCTTATGTCTAGCATTTTTGCTGTCAACAGAGAGGCATGCATTCTCTTTTTTCCTCTTTTCTTCATGCAGAGTGGAATTTGTGGACATAGCTAGTGTATTACCTACGGTCCGGTGAAAGTTGTCGTTTTTGATAAGGACAGTTAACAGAAAGTATTGTTGGCCATTAAGGAAAGCATGAAAGAGCACGATAGTACTGTACTATGTTTTGTACTTTCAATTGGTTTTCTCCGTCAAAAGTAAGACCCCTCTAACACAGCCTCGACTCCTCTGTTTCTCCCTGTCTCCACAATATCACTCTTTGGAGATTTAGGGCCAGTTTCTTTGTGACTTATTTTGGTTGTAAAATGAGATGTCCTCTATCTAGGTTATTCTAGAAGTCTAACCTAAAATTTTATTTTAGAAGCCTACTAGTTAAGAGATTTAAAAAAAAAAAATTAGGTTCGTCTTCTAAAATAAGCTGGATAGAGGGCATAAAGAACTGCCCTTTAAAAAGATTAATAATCATCGATGAAGATCATTTCAGGGGAGCTATCCTATCCTATCTAGATTCTAGACCAAGCCGTGGAAGAAAGCGACCTCACCGTAGAAGCTGCAGAGTTTGTATCCAAGAAACAGGAATGTTACTTGAGTCGATGGTCAAGGTCGTGTTTCGCATTTTTCAAAAAAAAGGTCGTGTTTCGCATTTACCGTGCCTGTGTCAGCAAAACGATGTAAGTTCCCCATAAATTTGCACTGATATTTTTCTATTGACTACTAGAACATAGCAAAATAAGATACAATTTCGTAATGAATGCAATGATACAATTTCGACATAAACAAGATATTCAAATACGGTTGATTCCATGTTCTCAAGATTTTTCTGTTTTGAGCCGAACATGTATAAAAACTGGCCTT